AAGAACTGACGGGTGGATAGCCGGCGTAAGGGGTCTGGGGCTCCCCCTTCCCCGGGGGGAGCTGCTCAGACAACGGCGTGGCAACGTGTGACGTCATGCTCGTTTGCTCGTTTCTTTTAGGGGAGTTCTATCCACTTGTTTGACTTTTGGTAGCAATATTTTCACCAGAATAGGGGTTTGTTTTGGGATGCCTATCTTTCTGGGTGCCTGACCTGGTCGATGGCAGACACAGAATGCTTCCAACCACACGGGGGTTTCTATAGGCCATTGCTTCCCCATGCCTCTCTGAGGGGGCCAGGTTCTGGCTCGTGGTCCCGGGTAGGCCCACAGAACTCCATACACATGACTGATGCCAAAGTCTGGCATTAGCATATCAGCCTAGTAAGCTCCGGGGAGCCGAGGGGGCTCCCCCCAGAAAAAAGAGCCTCGAGTGTAATGAAATGCCAGTTTCTGGATGAGCCCCGGAGGATCCCTGAAGCTATCTGAACTGAAATAGTGCTATATTAGTTAGAGTCATCAGTCACAGGGTCCTTTTTGCCTACCAGGGACCCCGATAACCTATGAACACCACTATGAACACTATACATTTAACCCTTAAATGGCACATAGCTATATACCATTTGACACCCACAGGTGCATACCAAAAAAAAAAAAAAAAAAAAAAAAATATTTTTTCTTCCTAACCTGTTAATTTGTGTTCACTGATCACGGGAAAAATAATAAAAAAATCGTAAGTGGCATATATTGCCCACTATAGGGTGGGGAAGTGTGGCAAAAATCAGGCGCTGACTGAGCGTGCGTCCCAGGCGGTCTGTTGATCGCCAGCTGTCAGGCCAGAGTTTCCACAAAGAGATAATTACCTAATTATTTCAATGTCTCTGATTGATTTTTCGTAGTTTTTTTGCTGTAATATTATTCAATAGTGTGTAGTGTGATATATTTATATGATAAAATGAGTGAATCATCGCTGTACTCAAAAATATGGTGTGCATATTGTTGATTCAATTATGTTCATCAAACAGTGAACAAATACTTTGTTGGTTATCACACTATATACACAGGTTATATATAAGTATCTGCATGTTTTGTTCACCATGACAAACCACTAAGTTGGTATGCTGAGTGGCAGTGGCAGTGGCAGGCAGTGACTGGCTGCCACTCCCTCCCTCACCTCACCTCACCTGACTTGCCACCATTCTCCACCCACCATACTGTTTTTGCTTTTATATACAGACGTTATATATAAGTATTTACATGTTTTGTTCACCATAACTGTACATCTAAGCTTGTATGGTGAGTAAAGGCACATAGACGTAGCTACTCACACAGTCAGCTGGTGGCGGCCGCCCTCAAGGCCAGACGCACTAATATTTCTCCTACAACAATACTGTTTGTGGTGTTATTACGCTATATACACACATTATATATAAATACAGTATCTACCTGTTTTATTCACCATACTTGTACAAGTAAACTGGTATGGTGCCCAAAGACCATCGTGGTCATCAGTAAACAACATGATAAGTCCTGCAGACGACGCTCCACCCTCACCAAAATGGCGGCTCCCAACCTCCTACTCTCGCTGTTATCTCACACTATACACACGTTATATATAAGTATCTACATTTGTGTTCACCAAAGCGAACCACTAAGCTGGTATGGTGAGTGCAGTCAATAAAAGGTGGCCACACACACTGAAAAGACAATGCCACCATCCTCCCTCTCACAGCATTACTCCTCCCTCCATGGCGCACAGCGCCAAATATCACCACAATCCTGCTATTATCAGAACCCTGGTCAGTTTTATCACAGTCAGGGGTCTTCTGTAATAATATCATTGCTACATAATAGCATGAACAAGTATATTATGGCATTTTTAGGCGATGCTGTGGTCACAAGCTGAACAGCAGTGCTGTGAGCTCATGCTGTGTTCGTCAGGCTTGGTAGCTGACTCAATACTGAGGCCCCCAACACCCGGGAGTTTGGCCCACGATTTTTTTAAAAAATGGCGTCTGTTTACAAGAGCCCTGATGAAGGTGTGGTGAACCCCGTGTATCCGCGGGCCGTTTAAATCTTGCGTAGTACTCCAAAGCATCACATGATGCGATGCGCAATTTACTGCAAGTCGATCAAAGCATCATATGATGCGATGCGCAATTGAAGGGTTAAAGTACATCACACTTGCCATCGACCAGGGCATCCAGAAAAGTAGGTGAAACAAAACAGACCACAGGCTGGTGAAAAATGCTACCTATGTCCTGAAAGAACAAAAAAACTCCCCCCAGAAAAAAAGGGAAACAACACCTCAGGCAACTAGCTTCCCCCTCCCCCCCACTTGTTAGAGATCGCTTTCCCACAGGGGGGAAGAGGCGTCTGGCAGCCCACCACCCCAGTATTTTAATGATATAAAACCGCTGACAGGAGGGAGAGAGGGTGTCAGGGAGCCTCCGGGGTTCACCCAGAAACAGGCATTTCATTACGTTGAATGCTGGTTTTCTGTGGGGATCACAGAAATGAAAATTATAATTTTCACTTCACAGAGAGCACAATTTTTTTTTCCTTGTATTGAGAAATGCTAGGAAGAGATAGACAGCCGCGACAGACATCTCCCAAAGCAACACAAGGCCGCAGAAGGCCCGGAACGTTTATGAGATATCTGGCGGCCAGGACCCTGTTCAACTTCTGAAACCCCTGTGCCCAAATATCGTTTCAAGACATATTGCCAAAGACTGGCGCAAGAGCAGTATACTTCCTAACATCATGGGCATGAAGGTAGACCACAGGCTGGCTTGACTTAATGACACTGCAGACAACCTGAGACACATGCGCCCTGGAATAGGGAACCAGGGGAAACTGGATCAACCCAAGAGCATGTCCACTGTCACAGAACTAGTGGCCCGCAGGTAGCAGCATAAAGCTGCCACCGGACACAATACATGATGCACCCATGATACATGATACACAGACGGGTGGAAACAGGCTAACATAGTTCCAATCTACAAAAGTGGCAGCAGGGAAGACCCCCTCAATTATAGACCTGTATCATTGACAAGTGTACTGGGGAAAGTATTGGAAAAACTAATCAAAACTAAATGGGTAGAACACCTAGAGAGAAATGATATAATATCAGACAGACAGTATGGTTTTCGATCTGGAAGATCCTGTGTATCGAATTTACTCAGTTTCTATGATCGAGCCACAGAGATATTACAGGAAAGAGATGGTTGGGTTGACTGCATCTATCTGGACCTAAAAAAGGCTTTCGACAGAGTTCCACATAAGAGGTTGTTCTGGAAACTGGAAAATATTGGAGGGGTGACAGGTAAGCTTCTATCATGGATGAAAAATTTTCTGACTGATAGAAAAATGAGGGCAGTAATCAGAGGCAATGTATCAGAATGGAGAAATGTCACAAGTGGAGTACCACAGGGTTCAGTTCTTGCACCAGTGATGTTTATTGTGTACATAAATGATCTACCAGTTGGTATACAGAATTATATGAACATGTTTGCTGATGATGCTAAGATAATAGGAAGGATAAGAAATTTAGATGACTGTCATGCCCTTCAAGAAGACCTGGACAAAATAAGTATATGGAGCACCACTTGGCAAATGGAATTTAATGTTAATAAATGTCATGTTATGGAATGTGGAATAGGAGAAAATAGACCCCACACAACCTATATATTATGTGAGAAATCTTTAAAGAATTCTGATAAAGAAAGAGATCTAGGAGTGGTTCTAGATAGAAAACTATCACCTGAGGACCACATAAAAAATATTGTGCAAGGAGCCTATGCTATGCTTTCTAACTTCAGAATTGCATTTAAATACATGGATGGCGATATACTAAAGAAATTGTTCATGACTTTTGTTAGGCCAAAGCTAGAATATGCAGCTGTTGTGTGGTGCCCATATCTTAAGAAGCACATCAACAAACTGGAAAAGGTGCAAAGACATGCTACTAAGTGGCTCCCAGAACTGAAGGGCAAGAGCTACGAGGAGAGGTTAGAAGCATTAAATATGCCAAAACTAGAAGACAGAAGAAAAAGAGGTGATATGATCACTACATACAAAATAGTAACAGGAATTGATAAAATCGACAGGGAAGACTTCCTGAGACCTGGAATTTCAAGAACAAGAGGTCATAGATTTAAACTAGCTAAACACAGATGCCGAAGAAATATAAGAAAATTCACCTTCGCAAATAGAGTGGTAGACGGTTGGAACAAGTTAAGTGAGAAGGTGGTGGAGGCCAAGACCGTCAGTAGTTTCAAAGCGTTATATGACAAAGAGTGCTGGGAAGACGGGACACCACGAGCGTAGCTCTCATCCTGTAACTACACTTAGGTAATTACACTTAGGTAATTACCCCCGGCCTAACCAACCAAGCATCCACAACCAACGGACCCTTCCGGATGCCCACCTTCTCCTTCTTTGCCAGAAAAGAAGAAGGCTGCTAATGAACAAAATGACCACCAGGACCAAACAAATAGAACTCCTGGTGCTGGAGAAGAGCATGAAGCTCACCAATCCTACTCCCAGAAGCCAAAGCCAATAAAACTAAGGCTTTCCAAAAGCAACCATGAACTGAAGGGCTACTACAAACCGAGAAAACTGAAAGGAAAGAACCCGGTCCAAAGACCAAGATGGCTCAGACAGTGCAAGAGCAAGCTGGAGGTAAAAAAAAAACATGAATGAGCTTGCGGAATTGGAGTGGATGTGACAACCACACCAAACTAATAATGCAGCAACTCCGCCAATGCCGCACGATACAAAGCAACAGTATTCAGCATGAGATGCCGGTTCAGGAAAAGCCAAGGACAAAACAACCCTGTTCGACACCGAAACTTTGTACTGTTGCTGAGAAGACTGCAGGTGGGACACCACCAAAGAAGCTACATGATCACCATACAAATGGTGATACACCCGCATCAGAAAAACCAGACGTGTAGAATGGAGGAGTAAGTTGAACCAGCGAGGTATCTCACCGGCCCTACCTGTTGAAAGAGGCGAAGCCACGGAAAATGCCCAGGTTCGGACTCCGAGCAAGCAGTGCCTTAAATCAGGGCTGGGCTGGCCACCGTGAAGCCAGGAGAACCACTCTCCCCTGATAGGTTTCCAGCCAAGCCAGAACTTGGAGCAACATCTGGACTGGGAGGAAGAGGTACAGGAACTCCACCTCGACCAGTCTGAAAAGCATCGACTGTGAGGGCCTCGCAGCCGGGTTGTGGGTGACATCGATACCATGTCAACGTGGAGGGGTCCATCTCCTGGCATCCGTACGTCCGGCAAAGCCAAAAGAAGAAATCTGCATCACCCATCCACTCTGTGGAAACAGGAAGAAAGTGAGACAAGCCGTCTGCCAGGATGCTGGACACACTTCAAACGTGAACGGCACAGAGAATTAAACCCAAGAACTCACCAGAAAAGCTACATTGTTGTGAGCCCGACACAACGACAGCCCCCAATTCCCCTGGTAGGACTGGTGCGCACTGGTCACAAAGCCCCAACTGAGAGACAAGGAGTCTTTGAACACATTAACCCTTAAACTGTGCAATGCTGCATATGAAGTGTTGAGTAACTGATGTAAAAGTACGCACCACTTCATTTGAAGTTTTCGAGTACAGGGGTACCTTGGTTAACGAGTTTAATCCGTTCCTGGAGACGGTTCGTAAAAAAAAACAAAAACTTCGTAAACAGAAGCGAATTTCCCCATAAGAAATACAGTGGCACCTCGACTTACGATTGCCCCTACTTACGATAATTTCGAGTTACGATGTTAATTTCATCGAAAAATGCGACTCGACATCCAATGGTGTCGTCGACTTACGATATTTGTTGGTACACGTTCGGGTCGACCGACCGTGTGGTTCCCGGTCACACGGCCGACCTGCCTCAGTTTACTACAGCTGCCCGCTTACAGTAGTGACGATCGCACCTATAAGAAATTTCGCTTTTGTGATGATTTTTTGCATTTTGAACATTAATTATTATATATCACGCCATGAGTCCCAGGAAAGTCGGTGGTAAGGCTCAACATATGAGATCCCATGTAAGGATGACCATAGAGCAGAAACAAGAGATCATTCGTAAATATGAAGATGGTGCGGGTTGTTGGACTGGCTAGGCAGTACAACAAATCTCAGTCAATGATATCCACCATACTGGCTAAGAAAAAGGACATTATGGGTGCTAAAGTGATACATCATTACAGACAAATGTTAAAACGAAGGGGAAAAACTAATTTATCTTGACAAATTTGTAGTGAGACAAACAAGCATTGAACCACAACCAGGTCCTAGTGGTATTCAGGCAAAACGTAGGAGAGAGAGTATCCCAAAGAAAACATCACTGCCTGATGTGATAAGGGAAGGGGACTCCCCTTCCAAACAGTAACAACTCTCCTCCTCCCCCCTCATCACCATCTTCCATGTGCCATCAAGAGCCCTCCATAAAGGTAAGATAAACTTAGGTACTGTATTGTAGTTAGAAAAAAATATTGTATTCAGTATAAAATGTATTTGTGTTAATATTTTGGAGGGTGGGGAACGGATTAATTCAAATCCCTTTATTTCTTATGGGAAAAATCGCTTCGACTTATGATATTTCGACTTACGATCCGTGTCTGGGAACGGATTAGCATCGTAAGTCAAGGCACCATTGTAATGGGAAATAAATTAATCTGTTCCCGACTCCCCAAAAACTTCACTTCAAAGTAAATTTTATACGTAATTCACCTAAATCTTCACTACAAAAGTATGATCAAGTTATTACTGTACTTACCCTTGCTGATGTCCCTTGTTGGCGTATGGAAGATGGTGAGGAGGGGGGAGGAGAAGGAGAGGTGTTACTGTTTGGAAGGGGAGTCCCCTTCCATTATAACATCAGACAGTGAAGATTTCTCTGGAGTGCACTCTCTGGCACGTATTGCCTGCATACCACTAGGTCTTGGTTGTGGCTCGGCTCAAGCGCCTGGCTCGAAAAAGGAGCTGAACTTAGGACAACGTGATCATCCAAATCAAGGGGCATGAAATCAACCTGTTCAGACAAGTTCAGAATGTACCAAAGATCCACACAGTCCCGTTTCGGAACTGGAAACAAGCGGGAAACCCACTTGAGAGACGAGGTCTCTCAAGTCTGGGGGGACTGCCCCCAGAGACCTCACCCCCCCCCCCAACTGGAGGAAGGGCCGCCCAACGCCACCAAAGGCCGGAAAAACGATCAAAAAAGCCCACGAATCACGAGACCAAGTGCGGGCAAAAAGAGTCAGCCTCCCCCCCCCCTCCATCAATGGGGGCAACCCACGAAAGGGCTGATGTGAACTCCAAAAAGCCAACCTTTGCACAGAGATACCACCGTGCCAACCAGCCGAAAAAGACCCCAGGGAACTCACTAACGCAGAAACTGGCACTAAAGGCCTAGTCCGACCCAACGAGGCCCGAGCCCTGGCATGACCCATTCGAGATGTCCTAGAATGATCCCTTCCCCCCCAGAGCACCAACAAGTCAGATATAGGACAGCAACTGGCAGAAGCCGCCGACAGAAACTGGACAACACTGTTCTCTGGGAAAAACAGAAGACAAGATGGGGAAGAAGAAGAAGAATGCAGAGGAAGGGCCCAAGCCGAATCTAAAGAAAGAGCAAGCACGGCTTTCTGAGACAAGAGGTGAAAGACATAGAAACTGCCTCCAAGAGGATTGGTGCAAACAGCTTCAGCAAGGCAGACAACACTGCAGCAGATGAAACCAGAACCCCAGCCAAGGGCCTCTTATCTTGAGGTTATCTTGAGATGATTTCGGGGCCTTTTTAGTGTCCCCGCGGCCCGGTCCTCGACCAGGCCTCCACCCCCAGGAAGCAGCCCGTGACAGCTGACTAACACCCAGGTACCTATTTTTACTGCTAGGTAACAGGGGCATAGGGTGAAAAAAACTCTGCCCATTGTTTCTCGCCGGCGCCTGGGATCGAACCCAGGACCACAGGATCACAAGTCCAGTGTGCTGTCCGCTCGGCCGACCGGCTCCCCTTAAGACCGGCTCTTACTCAATGTCCCCACATCCTCCGAAAGCCAATCCTAAGACAGCTCCAGAAGACAGAAGAAATGCAAGACCAAGGCCAAATGACCGCGAGTCTGAAGGTCATCAGCTGTCAGGGCAGCCAAAAAAGTGGGAACCTAAGCATGTAACTGCTCCAGACCCACATCATGAGGAAGTGCAGAGACGAAGAAGTACTCACTGAGCAACTTAAGCGAGCCCCCCAAGAACACCTGCAACACCGAAGAAACCTCCCGCCACTCAAGTGTGCGGGTACGATAAAAGCTACACCAAACCCCAAGGAAGAAGGGGCAGTCCGCTAGCCTGGAAGACTCCGGAACCTCATAATGCACTCAATACAAGGGACAAGAACCCAGACCCATCACAAAGGCGTATGAACCAAGGTCTCACAGGAGGAACGAACAAAGGGTCTCCCCGGGGAAAACCCGAGAGGAAGGAAACCTCTGTAAAGACGAATCCAAGGAACCCAAGGGCACCCAGAAAAAAACCTGTGGGGAAGCCGCATCTAACTCAAATTCATAAAGGGAAAGAGGGTACGAAAACCCCCCTCCCTTGTAGCAACAACCCCTGCCCAGAAGTCACAAGGGCCCAAGCAAGATCAAAAAGAGCCTAAGAGCTCCAAGCATACCCCTCCCCCCACCATTGCCCCAGGAACCTCCAAAACAGGCACCAGGGCAGAGCCCTCATCCATGCTTATCATCCCTAAAGAAAAGGCAGAGTCTAGGGAAAAGGCTTCCAAAAAGGAACTCTGCTGGGTTGACCCAATAGCCCCAGTGGAAAAATCGGGCTCAACCACCTCCGTGCCTGAATCAGAATGGGTGGCTCCCAAAGCCACCCTGAGCCTCATCCCAATCTAAATCTTGCCCTGACTCCAAAACCCTCAGACGTTCGGGAGCCGAAAGTAGGGGTGGAAGGAGCATGGCAAACCACGCTCACCTGGGAAGGAAGAGAGGGCGCTGATGAAACCAAGGCTGAAGCGACCAACCAATCAAATCTGAGTCCCTAAAACCCAAGTGGGGCAGCTCTGGGGCTTCTAACTGGACAACCAATCTGGCATGTTGCAAGGAGAATCAAGTAATGCAACTTCCACAACTGACACCACTTGCCTCCCCTGACAACAACTCACACCACTGCCACCAGTCTTTTCTGACAACTTTCACCACTGACACCACCAGTCTTTTCTGACAACACCTTCCAACACTAACTCCACCTGCCTCCAATAGAAATAACTTTCACCACCTGCCCCCCTGACACTAAACCCCAACTACTGAAACCACTTGCCCCCTGACCAATGACACCGCCTGCCTCCCATGAAACCATTTTATCATCCTTCAACTATTTCTCCCTGGAAATAATGAGTAAGCAAAATAAAGCACTACAACTGTTTACACTTTGGTGAATCAAAGTTGATGACAGCCACCTCCAAAGCTCAGTTTCAGTAACCGCTTGGACGAACAATCCTTGCTTAATCGAACATTTGTATGTTCCACTGAACATTCAGTAACGAATTCAATTTGTTTGGATCATCTGGGAATTCGATAGAGCGGGGTTCATTAGAGTGAGGATGCACTAGTGAACACGTGTCTGCTATAGTATATTCATTTTATTTAAGTGTGCGTGTGTTCCCTTAACCCTTAAATGGCGCATGGCTATATACCATTTGACACCCACAGGCGCATAATAAAAAAAAAAAAAAAAAAAAAAAAAATTCTTCCTAACCTGTTAATTTGTGTTCACTGATCATGGGAAAAATAATAAAAAAATCGTAAGTGGCATATTTTGCCCGCTATAGAGTGGGGAAGAATGGCAAAAAACAGGCGCTGACTCAGCATGCGTCCCAGGCGGTCTGTTGCTCACCAGCTGTCAGGCCGGAGTTGCCACAAAGAGATAATTACCTAATTATTTCAATGTCTCTGATTGATTTTTCGTAGTTTTTTTGCTGTAATCTTATTCAATAGTGTGTAGTGTGATATATTTATATAATAAGATGAGTGAATCATCCCTGTACTCAAAAATATGGTGTGCATATTGTTGATTCAATTATGTTCATCAAACAGTGAACAAATGCTTTGTCGGTTATTACACTATATACACAGGTTATATATAAGTATCTGCATGTTTTGTTCACCATAATGAACCACTAAGTTGCTATTATGAGTCAAAAAGTAACGAGAAGTGACCGCCACAACCCAGCCAGCCACTCACTCCCTCCCTCAACACCTCACTTGCCCACATTCTCCTCCCACCATACTGTTTTTGCTTTTATTCACTATAT